TCTCCGTGTTGTACAAAGATTGTGTGAAACTGGGTGTCTAATGCATATGCGCCAGATACGCCAGTGCGTCGTCGTCTTCAAGACGAGGAAAGAATTCTCGACTCTTTCTACGAGAATCCCGGAAACAGCGTGCGTCGTGCGGCGCGCGAACTCAATTTATCGTAGCAAACGTGCATCGCACTTTACGTGTACATCAGTTGTATCCGTATCATTACCAGCGGGTGCAACAGCTGATATTGCGGGATCTGGAACAACGGATATTTGCGACTTTTGCGAAGGTATTGTCATTAACTTTTTATATTCGCGGTGATTTATGAGTATAATGATCATTGGAAAACATACTCAAGATTCCTCGCGCAATATCGGCGGAATGACTTGTTTCCTGACAATATTCTGTGGACCGACGAATCTACGTTCATACAAAACGGCATATTTAATTCTCGTAATTGCTGATATAGGTCCGACGAAAATCCGCCCATCCGTGAATGCGGATTTCAGTACCGTTGATCCATCAACGTAAGGACTGGAATAACCGGGAATCAAGTGGTAAGTAGGAAGAAAATAATTTTTCTTAGTCTTCCGTTCTCTACAAGCTCGTTGGCTCACATGTTTTAATTAATAATAACTTGATAACTATTGATAATTTGATATTATGGTATATGACTTTTCTTCTCGGCTACACCCAATCTATCTTCAACATTCATCTGTATGATAACCTTTCAAACTCCCTGTATTTCTAATAAATATATTTTAAATTAAAAGTATATCTTCTATATCCTTTTTTGACACATTACATTTTGATAGTTACATATTAAATTTAAGGTAATATAAAAATAACAAGTGAAAAAGAAGAAAAGACTACACACCTACAGCAGCTAGATTCGAATCTTACTTGACATTCTATGTTTAATTACCTCAGTTTTATTATGGAATAACTTCAAGGCTGTCAAGCAAACGTCTGAGCAAACGGCAATAAACGGGTTAAATATTTTTAGATTTTTGTCAAATCTGTAATTTACATTTCGTACAATTCCGTTATTAAGTAGTTTAACCTGGATATCTACATTTATCTATGTTCACATGTTAACTTGATGTAAATATTATGTCATTAGGATTAGTCCATTTTCATGTAATAATGTGAAAAAGTATAAGAGGCAATACTATATAATGTAACTGAAAAATATAGCGCAACATCCACCTGTAGCGCAGCATCTATCACACATTGCACAATATCATTATGCTTTCCGAAAATTGGGTCATGGAAGTGTAATTTATTATGAATGGGTAGATTTCATATTCGATGTTCCTTACGTTACTTCTTGCAAAATTTAAAAATTTTGCAAAATTACTAGATAGGGATAGAGATAAATTAGAAAATGATAGGAATCAAGTTGTTATTCAGTTGTTGAGTGAGCACTCTCTGGATAGAGCTCGAAAAATATTCTTCGTAACGGGCTATTTAACTGATAACTGATTTGATAGGCAGAATATTCAAAAGAAATATAACTATTTTGATATGTGATTCCTGGAAGCACAGAATACAACTGATACATAAAAGAAATAACACACATACACATGCACGTATGCACTCACACGTAATACTACTGTGATCAAAAACAAAGGTGAATTTGTTTATAAAATGAAAAATCTTTATTTATTCTACCAAATCAATTTCATCGCATTCAAAGTACTCCCCGTCCGACACAATGCACTTATGCCAACGTTTTTCTAATCCTCGAAACAGTCAGAGAATTCCTTTTCCGGGATGGCCTTCAATACTTTTTTCGATTCGGCTTTTATCTCCTCAATCGGGTCGAAACGGTGTCCCCGGAGCGGTCTTTTGAGTTTGTTGAACAGCTAGTAGTCGCACGGTGCTAAATCAGGCGAATACGGTGGTTGTGGGACGATATGGGTCGAATTTTTGGCGTTGAAAGTTGAGTGTTTTTGGAACCAATCGAGATTTGACGCGTTTGAGGCACAAAACATCTTTTAAAATGGTTTGGGTTGATCCAAATGAAATGCCCGTAGCATCAGCAAGGTTCCTAATTGTCAATCGACGATTTTCGAACAGCAAATCTTTGATTTTCTTGACGTGGCTTTCATCGGTAGATGTTGATGGTCGTCCGGGGCGCTGTTCGTCTTGAACTCGTTCTCGGCCTTCTTTCAAGTCTTTGTATCACTTGTAAAGATTTTTTTGCGACATAGCCTTATCACCAAAGGCCTTCTGCAACATCCTCAACGTTTCCGGCAAATTATTCGTAAGCGGCAAAATATTCATTCCGCAAACAAAATTTAATGCAAATTTTTGCTCAACAAAATCAGACATAGTAAAAATCGAAAAACTCACTTTTGTATGTTTACAAAACACGTATAGCTCTGTAGCAATTGAATATATTGACATGAAACTCTGCATAGATGTCAAAGATAGTGCTACCAAACCACAAAAAATAATTTCATGATTTTAAAGTACCCGCGAAGTTTAAATGAAAAATTCACCTTAATTTTTGATTACAGTAATATAACTGTTATAAATTTTAATTTTGAAGTTTCTTTGTTTATTCTTATAACATAAGATATATTTTATAAGATAAATGTGTTTTGAAGCTGTTATATTCCTTTGTTTTATTGCTTATAGCAATATATCAGCAGTATAATTTAAATATAATATGTTGAATTACAAATGCGTACGAGTTTTGTTTTATATTTATCACATACACAGATTATACCAATATTTAGTCGACTCATCCTTTAACCAACATTTGTTTCTTGTACGTAAAATATAATGATATCGCATATGATACCGTGTCGTCGGTATGACAAAACTTGTACAAATTTTCTAAATTCTTGTATTAAGAAGGTAGTATAATTTTTAATTACAATTGCAGTACGTGTTTAGTTTTATATTTATCATATGCAGCAGATTATACAATAATATTTAGGTCGTTTTATGCTTTAAACAACATTTGTTTCTTGTACGTAAAATATTATGAATTATCGCATATGAATATCGTGGCGTCGGTATGACAAAACTTGTAGAAATTTTCTAAATCCTTGTATTAAGAAGGTAATATAATTTTTAATTAATGATTATTATTTTTTACAACAATAACTGCTACTTTCCTTGCAAATATCGCGTATGTTGACAGTAGTGACTAAATTACAAATGCGAATTAATCAAGAATGCCATAGTATTTTTATACCTTTATATCTGCTAAGAACAATATATGTAACACAACAAAAATATATAAAAGGACAATAATATGTAACAATAACAATACATAAAATGTAACAATATATAAAAATATAAAAATATTATATTTATATTATATATATATAAACTATATGCAAGATAATAATCTATGAAAGAAACTACAATCATTTTGAATATTCCGCCTATCCGAGCAATGTAAACAGACCGCTTCGAAGATTATTCTCCGATGGTTCTCCGTTCAGAGAGCGCTCAGTCAATAATTGCGTAAGAGGTTGATTCCTATCATAATTGATCATCGTTTGTAAATCTATGATTAGTGGCTCGCAACGGTTACTTCACGCGTTTCTCTCATTGGAAAGTGTTCAAACTGTTTCGCACAGCCGAATGTACCTGACGCGACCTTCCTGTTTGTATGATATTTCGCTTTTGGATATTGTGAACAGCATAAATACCAATAATTTTAAACAATAACTTGCGCAATATAGAGAGTGCATATCGAAATTTGTCTTTTTACAAGATATCGGTAAACGTCGAGACAGGGAAAAATAAATTCGGACAACGCGGTTACGCAAACAGATTATTGAGCCTAGGCAGTTGAAATTTTAACTCGAAATTTCACATTGAAAAGGCAAGATTATGACTCACATATGTGAAATTTGCAAGAAAAGCTTCCCTCTGATTAAAGAGTTGAAACAGCACTACAAGCAGACTCACAAACGTGGCTTATACAAGTGCGAATATTGCGACTTCACATCTAACGACAAGCATGACTTGAAAAGGCACGTGGAACGAAAGCATACGGATAATTATGCATACACGTGCCCGGGCTGTAATAGAAAGTTCAAAACTCAGGAATATCTGGACAATCACATAATAAATATTCATTGTAGAGAGGTAAGCGACAGCTCGAAGTCTTACCGATGTGACACCTGCGACATAAGCTTCCCTTCGATGCAAGAGTCGAAACATCACTTCAGTGATATACACAAGCAAATCATGTTTGAATGCTATTATTGCAAGGAAATATTCGCCAGAAAATGTAATTTGAAAGATCACATTGGACGAATACACATGGACGATATCTATGCGTGTACTGAGACCGGCTGTGATAAGAAATTCAGAGCGCTGCGAGATCGGGATAAACATATACGAGATGTTCATCATAAGAACCAGGAGGAGAAGAAGGAAAGCGGTAGTCCGCAACCGGGACCGTCCTGGAAGAGTGACACTCCCATGAGCGGCAAACATTCCAAAAAGAGCAGCAAAAAGAACGTAAGAGCGCCTTACTCATGCAATATCTGCAAAAAAGGTTTTAATAAGAAAGAAGAGTTGAAACATCATCTCAGTGCCGATCATGGACAAGATATGCTCTGCTGCGAAACATGCGGTTTCACATGTAAAGACCAAAACTCATTGAACGAACACACAATACGGAAGCATACGCATGAGCACAAATATATGTGTGATGAGGAAGGCTGCGGCAAGAAATTCAAATTGAAGTCGGATTTGACGAAACACAAAAGGCAGAATCACTCGAATAAGCCGTACACGTGCAAAAAATGTGGTCATGTAAGTTCTAGTTTGTCAGAGCACCGTGCACACACGTCCATGCATTTAAAAAGAAAGGTAGCCTGTCAAATCTGTGGGAAGAAGATATTCAATAACAACTTATCTGTACATTTAAAGACACATGGTGAGAAGACATTTGCTTGTTCTACCTGCGGTAAGAAGTTTCATAGGAGAACACATTGCAAGGGCACATGTTAACTCATTCGCATCAAAGACCCTATGCCTGCAACATTTGCAGCGCGGCGGTTTATGGAGCGACAGGCTTTAGACAATCACAGGAGGGACGAACATCCCGATGCATCTCCAATCGAATAGAACGAATCGATATCATACATATATTGTTGCAAAATTTCTAGAAAAATCAAGAACATTCAGGTTGCCAATCAGGATTAAAGAAGATATAATATGTACGCGACGAAACAGTTTGTATTTAAGTTTACATACGCACACACACAAATACGCGCTTCAACACACACATACTTAAACACACACACGTACAGATCATAATGTTCATGGTTGGTGAATATTTCAAAACAGATTTCTTTATAAAAATATATATTCAGCAATTTTTAAATTGTGATTTTGTCCTTGAATGTCTGTTCGTAATAATCCTACATTTTCTATATACTCTTACATGTATGTATGTGTGTGTGTGTGCATACGAGTGCGTGCACGCGCACGTAGATGTATGCACGCACGCACATGCTCACACCCAGTTTTCTGTGTAAAATAATAAGAATAAATATATAGAGAAGTATATAGAGATGAGTTGAAGGATGACTATATGACGTACGTTATACATATGTGTTTTACTTGTATGTTGAGCTGAGCATCATGTTGAAATTTTATTTGTGTTTAATAAGATGAAAAAATGTCATATTGTATTTGTAATATTTTAAAAATAATCTAAAACGTTGACACACGTGAATATTTACATGTTCCAGTAAACACGAATTATGACAGTGACAATTTTATCAATGTCATAATATTTCACTTAATAATGTAATTAATATTCGATATTCCACTTAATAATAATACTTAATAGTAATACTCTGGAAGAAATTTCAGTGTAATATGTTATAAATTATAGTTATCGTTTAGCAAGGCATTGTGACATTGATATTATTTTACTACAATAGTTTGTCCTTTGACTGGAATATATTAATATACATATTATAATATACATATTATAATATCGATATGTTGATATTTATGTGTTACGTTTATATTTATTCTTAGCTACATTCCATCTTTAACCGTATATAATTATGTACATTCTCTCGAAAAATTAATTCTGTTTAAAAAGCAAAAAGAAAATACATTTAATTTTTATGATTGATTACTAAAATGTGAACATACATTTGCTTTCATCAAATCTGTGCAATAGCATTCTCCCGTTATGAATATATGTAATGATTATATGTATACTTATATTACATGTAACCTCAAGTAACCATGTAAAATCAAATAACGGGCACATTACATTAATATTCATCTGTTCATTCAATAATGTAATTGTTATTGCAACGTATATTTTATATTTATATTTTATTACTATTGAATAATATATATAACACTATATTATTATACATTCATATTATTAAATGGAAAATTAAAACAATGATTTGATATTATTGCTGGCTCGTTAGGTTATTAGTATTAGGTAGTGACAAAGTTCATGTACTATAATTTTTATCTAGCATATCTGCGGTATTTTTTGCATCGTGTTTCTAAAGATATTCATCTTGCTGCGGATTTTCCTATCGTTTTTGGACTGAGATTTCAATAAATCTATATTTTAATATATTTTTGTTATATTCATTAATTCTTTGCGTGTTTATGAGAAAACCGGCGTATTAAATAAAATTTGTATAAATATTCAAAATCCTTGAATCCTTTCCATTCAACGCCCTGAAACATTTCATAACATGTCCATCATCATTGTTAAGTCTCCTCTACAACATTATTATGATTTTTCGGAGTCAAATGTCCGACTTATGTGCATTGGATTACTGGCTATCATAATGAGGCTTCACCAATCGACTATCGGTATTGGGGCGAGAAAAATGATCATGTCGCATCAATATTCGTCATATATCGACTGTTGTTACGTTGTATGACATTTCTCTCAGTAAATTATACTGCTTTGATTAATGCAGTATTATTACACGGAAATAATGTACAGTGTCGCGCAAAAATTTCGAGCCATAGTGTCTTTTTAAGATACATGACAATATATTGATTTGCTCTAAAAATTAATTATATAAAATAATTGACATAACATTCTTACAAATGATAGTACAGTTACAAAATTTTGAAAGTACATAGTTTCTATTTATTTAGTCATATAATATTTAAATGTGTTCAAAAGTATTGAGCCGTATTCTTATTGTGACTTTATGAGCCCGGTTTGTTTACGTTTCTTATGAAACTTCTTCGTAAATATTTGCTTTAACTAAGGTTCAGTTTATTGTCTACCGCAATGCCGAAACATACAAGCCTCAGTTACGCGAAGCCGTGATTAATCTTTCTCAGCAAGGAAAGGTTTCTCGCGAAATTGCTTATTGCTTATTAATTGATAAAAGTATGGTAAATAGGATTATTGCTAAATATAAGTTGACGAACTCTTTAGCTGATAAACCACGAAATGGTAGACTTCGCAAAACTACAAAGCGCATCGATAAAATGATTAAAAGAAAGTCGATAGCAGATGTTAGGAAAGCTACTCAGGATATTTCTCGAGAACTACGAGAAGAAAATCTTGCTGATGTAAGTCGAAGTATAATATCTTGACGTCTAAAGGAAGGAAGTAGGACTTTTAGGACGCGTTGGTGTAAAAGAACCATTAATTAATGCAAAAAAATAAGAAAGATCGGTTAGATTTTGCAAGGAAATTTGAACATTGGACTGAAGTTGATTGGCGAAAGGTACTTTTCTCTGACGAGTCAGAGTTTCAGTTATTCGGAAGTGCCGGTAGAAAATATATACGATATCCAACAGGCACAACATATAACCAAGATATCAAATTCCTACCGTAAAACATGGTGGAGGTAACGTGATGGTTTGGGGATCATTTTCTTATAATGGAGTTGGTCCATTGGTTGAGATCATATATTGACACAGCATATGCTGCCATATGCAACTCGAAACATGCCACGTGATTGGATTTTTCCAACAGATAACGATTTCAAACATTCATCAAAACTAATAAAAGAATTTTTCATCATGAAAAAAATGCGGGTTCTTGACTGGCCCTCGCAATCACCGGACTTGAATCCTATTGAGCATTTGTGGCAAGAATTCAAACTACATACAGGAAATAAGATACACTCCAATACAGCTGAATTGTGGCAAGATTTGCAAACTCAATGGCAAAATTTTCCTCAAGATTATTTTCTAATTTAATAGCATCAATACCTCGCCGTTGTGCTGCTGTGATTGCTTTTAAAGGCATAGCGACAAAGTATTAAGTTTAAATAAACGTTGATAACACTTTCTGTTATTATTTTTCAATGATATATTTTCCTAATGGATAAGAAAACTTTTTGGCGCAATACTTTTGCACCGTTTGTAATAAGACGTCGATAAAAATAAAGTATTTATAATTATTAAGGTTTGTAAAATTTATATAATCGTAGGATAAATAAATACATTTTGTTTATATATATGTGTAAAGTTTTAGTGCTCATTATGAAATGAATATATAATAATACTAGGGCGCAACTAAGTTTCCGGGTTTCACGTATGGATGGCGCTAACGACACATGTAGTCGACATACATGTCTGAAGTTGTGTTTTTTTCATAGCTTGGACATCTGTTAACAATAACCAGTCGTAATACCAACACATATCGCAACGCAAAAATATTTTTTCTAACAAGGAAGATGTTCGAGTTTTGTGCCAAATAAACAGCTTTTGCGGGAAGCTTTGCTTTTCTCCTTTAACTTGAAAAAAAGTGCAGCTGAAGCACGTCGTTTGCTTGAGGAGGCCTACGGCGAGCATGTACCATCGAAAACTACCTGTGAAGATTGGTTTAAACGCTTCAGAAATGGTGATTTTGACACTGAGGACAAAGAGCGCTCCGGAAGACCAAAAACAATTGAGGACATCGATTTAACAATAACCAGCGTTATTGGATGAAGATGATACGTAAACACAAGATCAACTTGCGGAGGCATTAAACATGACTCGCCAAGGTATTTCCAAACGTTTACATGCCATGGGAAAAATTCAAAAGGAAGGAAAATGGGTGCCGCATAAGTTGACTGAGAGACAGATGAAAAATCAAAGAGCCACTTCCGAAATTTTGCTTCTGCGGCATGAAACAGAGTTTCTTGCATCGATTGTTACTGGCGATGAGAAGAGGATATATTTCGAGAATCCCAAAAGCAAAACATCGTGGCTTTCACCTGGAGAAGCATCAACATCGACGGCACGACCAATCGGAATGAAGACAATGCTCTGCGTTTGGTGGGACCAGAAAGGAATCGTGTACTATGAGCTGCTGAAAAGAAGCCGGGCGAAACTGTCAATGGGGCATCGCTACCGACAACAACTGATCAATTGAACCATGCATTGCTCGAAAAACGGCCAGAATGGGACACGAGACACAAACGAGTGATATTGCAGCACAACGCTCTGTGCTATCGTACTTCCCTCGTCCAGCACACTATCAAAACGCAGAAATGGGATCTGCTACCGCACCCGCTGTATTCGCCAGACCTGGCCCCTTCCGATTATCACTTCTTCCGGTCGATGGCGCATAGCTTGGCTGGGCAACATTTGGCCAATTTCGAAAAAGTACAAAATCGATTGGACGAATGGTTTCGGTCAAAGACGCGTCGCTTGATCGTCGCGATATTCATGTATTGCCAGAGAGATGGCAAAAATGTGTAGCTAGCGAGGGACGATACTTTGAATAAACCATTTTTTGTATTTCTCTTGAAATTTTCCATTTTTCATTTATTAAGAAAACCCGGAAACTTAGTTGCGCACCTAGTAGTTGTACGGTTCAAAACTTTTGCACGCTGTAGGTGTAGACAAAGAATCGAAGTGTACTTATTATCCAAAAATTATATTTACTGTGATTCATCAGTTGGAGTGTATACTTGAGGCGCAACAAACATATTTCGAAAAAGACGGCACAAACAATTGACTTTCGATATTTCAAATGTCAATTGTTTCTGCCGTGATTCGTG